GGAAGCCGATTCCTTGGCAGTCCTGGCCCAGACACAGAAGAAGCTGCCACGCTGAAAAAGGTACCGAGCCATGTGGCTAACATATACTAGAATAATGGGGCTAATATAACAGTTAATAAGAAGCCTGGGCTAATGGGCCAATCAGTTTATAATTAATGTAGACCTCTGTGTGATTTCTTTGGGACTTAATGATTGTGAAAACTGAGCAGGACAGAAACCTTAGACAACAAACAAGACTGAGGAAGAGAAGGGTACTGAGCTACAAAAGTGAGAGAGAATGAGAGAGAAGAATGGGAATGTTTAGAAACAAATACTTTTTAAATCAGACCATATATTCTCTAACAAATCATATCAGGCTGATGGTTTCTGGATGGCTAGGTTTTCTTTTTTAATGTGCATATGTGTAATAAAAAGCCTTTAAAGAAAAATGTTTTAGTATTTATGTATGTGGTCATTTGTGAACCTCTAACTTTAGCACTCACATTTGTGTGGTACTGTTTCTCATGTATAGAAGCTGAGATTCTGAGATAGTCAATGTATCTCTCAGTGCATGAAGATATCATTAGAGAACAAGAAGAATGACTCTTGTAAGAGAGAGGCCTTTTAAGTAAAATATCGACAGAATAGGCAGGACCTAACCAACTATGGGCCAGGGGCATCCTAACCCTGACCCGTGACTAGAACTCTAGAGAAACTCCCCATCCCATGTCATGCATCCAAACACACCAAGCAGAAGTCTATGTCACTGGGCAATGGGCACTATAATGATCTCTTTGTGATGAGGAAGCATGGCTCAGCCCATTACCAGGGTGACCTGTGTGGGACAAAGACACCTCCATGGAGTCCTGGGGCTACCTACTCCATGCTTCATGCTCTAAGAAGAAAACCTGCTACCTTGCAACATCAGCCAGATGGATTCTATCAGTGTTAACAGAGGTACAGTATGTAGTATGTGGCATAGTGATTTAAAAGAGAGACAGAATGGTTTAGGTCTTGTGGACAGAGGAATATCTGAAGAGACAAAAGAGGAAGGGAGTGGGCTGAGATGGTGAGGGAGCTGATGCTTTTTTTAACACATGGGAAAACTTGCCCTGCACTTGGTCTGGGCAGGAGAGCAGAGACCATCCTGCTGATGACAGCACAGGTGAGCCAATCCTGAGAGTGTGATCATGGGCGATCTAGCCCCACCCTCATTTCCTATAGGGGTATGGGCTGGGGTGAGATACCTTCCTTCAGTCCCTACCCATCAATGCCTAAGACAATAGAGATAACTGACCTTGAGGCAAAAAGAGAGGGCAAGCTGTTCCTGCTCCCCACCAGCTGCAAGACTCTAGGAAGCAGGCCGTGCACTACAGCAGGGCAGCACAATAGAGCCAAGTCTGTTAATGGAATTGTGAAAGAGCCAGTCTTAAAATTGTGAGCATGGGAAAGTTGTCCCCATTACTCATCTGTTTGGTGGTGGTGAGGAAAAGAGGCTTTTCTCCCTTCCCATCAATGTCTGAGGCAAATGGGAGAGATAGTTGTGAAGTCATAAGTATGGGAGACCCAACGCTGACCCCCACCAGTTATAACACTTGGGAGAGCAGTCTGTGAACCTTAGCAGGACAGTAAATAGAGCCAACAATGTGAATATAGGTGTGGGCAAGCCAGCCCTGAAATTGTGAGCATGGGAGAACTATACCAATTATCCTTCGTTTTGGTGGTAGAATGGGCTGAAGAGATCTGTCCTCCTCATCCTGCAGTGCTTGGGGCAAGTAGAAAAACTGGAATAGTGGTCATAGGTGCAGGAGAGCTCTCCTTGACCCCCACCAACTACAGCACTTAGGAGAGCAGGCACTGCACCTTGCCAGGACAGCACAATAGAGCCAACTCTGTTACCCAGGTGTGGGTAAGTGAGTCCCGGAATTATGAGTATGGGGGAGCACTCCCCACTTTTCCTCTATCTTCTTGTGACATGGGCTGAGTAGTGATGCCCTCCCTTCTATTCATGAATACCTAAGGAAGATAGAAGAGTTGATCCTGTGGTCATAAGAATGGGAACACTCTCCCTGACCCCCAACCAGCTGCAACACTCTGGAGAGCAGGATTAGCACCTAACTAGGGTACCAACCTATTAGTGCAGGTGTGAGTAAACTGTCCCTAAGTTGTATGCTTGGGAGAGTTGTCCCCATTTTACATGTAGTAGACCAAAGCTATAGTTACCTAGGTTCAGGCCCAAGAATACAACTTGGGATACCCTGTCATCCACCACATCTATAATATGCTGGACCATGTTAAGGGAGCTGAACTGCAGATGCCAGACTTCAGGATCTCCACAACACAGAACAATAACAGGATATCTAGGCTAAGGCCTAAAATAAATAGGGTAGTAGAAATCAGAGGCCTTGAACCAGACTAACGTCTCTTGTCAATGAACACTTGCAATTAAAGATAAATAAAGGAGTTACACTGCAGCTTCTATCATGAGATTTTTACATTTTTCCCTTTTTAATTTTCTTTTCCTCCCATTTTCTCTTAAATTTTGCTTTATTTGGGGGAAGTTCTGGAGTGGAAGACAGAAGCAAAAAGATGGGGAAATGAATGGGATCAAGATGCATGATGTAAAAGACACATAGAATAAAAAATATCTATAGGAAGAAACTGGTAACAGCCATACCTGAAATCTGGAGGAAAAAGAACTTAAAAAAATGAGGTTTTGGTTCTTCTTTCTATGGTATTTGAAAGCTGGCTAATGTGTCTTCAAACAAGTTCTGTCGTTTTATTGTTGTTGTTTTTGTTTGATGCCCTGGAAGCTTATTAATCTTCTAATTCTTGTGCCAGGATACTCGAGGAATCAAATAAAGTAGGTAGGGTTTATTGTGCCTCTTCGTTTGAGAATTCTGTTCATGCAGAAATTTATTCACTCTTCACATTTCCCTGATAATATGCTGTGGTTTGGTCTTTCTGTCTGCTGTGAATAGGCATTGCTTTCATTGACTGATAAATAAAGCTGATTTGGCCTATAATCAGGCAGAATAAGGCTGGGCAAGAAAGCCAAATTCCACCCATCTGCCAAGGAAGTAAGACATGCACAAAATGAAGTAACAAGCCATAAACTGTGTGGAAAAGCATAGATAAAATATATTCGTTAATTTAAATCTAAGTGCCAACTAATAATAAGCCTTAGCCATCTGCCAACCATTTATATTAATATACATGGTTATATATAATATTAAGCTTTTGAGTAGTTCTTTTCTTTTCTTTTTTTTTTTTAAATCTAGAAGTGATAATGCAGAGGTCAGGAAAGCAACAAGAGTGAATGTTCCTCTCTTCTAGCACACATAATTTCTGTCAGTGTTCCAAAAGACACTGAAGTTCTACAGCCACTCCATACAGCCCCACCCAAAGATGCTTTGCATTCTTCTTTGTATTTTAATTCTTTTCTGCTTTGCGACAGGAGCCAGGCCAGAAGGACCTATCTGTTGCTGCCCTGATGGTATGCTCATGCTTCTATTTCTGATCAATTACCCATTAAGACTTTCAATAACTGGGCTAATTTATGTTCCCAGTATATCTGTCTGAGGGATGTTGGGCATTTGTGAGAAATTTCAAGGCAGTTTGGGCTCACTTTCTTTGTTCAATGTTGCTTCAGGGGATTAAGGTGGTGGTGCATCTTTCATATGCAAAACAACATGTTTTCCTCTGTGAAATCTAAAAACCAAAGTTGTTTTGAGACCAGATCTCAGCATATAATCTACACAGATTTCAGACTTGTTTTTCTCCTGCAATAGCTTCTTCAGTACTAGACCAAAGACACAAAAGTGTATCACTATAACAAAGTTACGTGCTTTTGTTATATCTTTTTCTAATATCCTCAATCATTTTGCTCTACTTTGTTATGAATTCTTTGACTATCTGCTAGCTCCTGAAGAATGTTATCATGCCAGGCTTCATATCCTGGCTTTTTTAAACATCCCTCATCTGCCCTGATTCCTACACTAAAGGAAATGAGTAGATTTTGGAGCAAAATAAAGAGACATGAATCATATTTGATGCTCCTTGGTGCTGATAGAGAACCAGATGTATGTACAAGGGAGACATAGAGAATTAGAAGAATACTTGTTGTGTAGATGAATTTATGTAGAGTTATTGTCTATTTAGTAGCACAAGGGAAATATTTCCAAATTCTGTGCATGCACAGATGAAATAGTTACAAGTGAACAGAACATATTACATTATGTGTCAATTACACTTGAAAGGAATTCTATGCCATATCTTAATAACTATCACAGTACTAAGCATGAGTTAGATCAAAAATGAATGCCAATGATAAGAACGAGCTAATAAAGTGAGAGTGAATGGGGTGTAACCCAAAGATATGAATATTTATGCATTAGTGTATGTTATGTGTTTATTAAAAGAAAATGATCAGCTTCTCGGTATGAGCAATAATGAAATAAATTCTTTGACATATAAGAAGGTAAGTGACAGATCACAGAATAAACATTGTAAAAAATTATAGGATCTTATATGTACATATTTTTATGTATTTATTGAAGTTCTTATTTCATTTACCAATTCAAAAATTATTCTCTTCTAAGTGAGTTAAAATCATATGACTTTGCTTGTCAGGAAATTAGTAGCTGGTAGTCACTATTCAACATGTAAACTGGAAAAACAATGGAAGTAAATATGTTTTTGTTTTGAAGGCAGTACATGGGGATTCAAGGTTTCTCTCATCACAATCTACAAGAAGCCAGGTTCTTGTGTATATGATACACAGTATCTGTTAGATACTAAGCTGGGCTGCCTTGGACAATTTATTATGTCTGTGAAGAAAAAATATGAACCAAATCATGAATGAATTTTAAAGATTGTTTGATATTGTATAGGAGACTTTATAACACACTGAGTTTTTTTTTTATATAATTTCAAGAGTGAGGAAAACCACAACATTTTAGAAGTTTGCATTTCCAAGTCTTCAGAAGTGCAGTAGAAGTTGAAGCATCCTTTTGGTGACAATGAGTGCTGTTCTACAGGCCGCATTATTAATCATATTAAGTGTGGAGTTTATTATAGGAATTTTAGGAAATGCATTCATGGCACTGGTGAACATCAGGGGCTGGGTCAAGAGAAGAAAGATCTCTTTTGTGGATCAGATCCTTACTGCTCTGGCCATTTCCAGGATAGCTTTTCTATTGTTAATAATCTCAATCATACTGATGTCTTCACTGTCTCCAGCTTTATTAATAACTGAAAAAATTATCAGAATAACTAATGCCTCCTGGATACTGACTAATCATTTTAGCAACTGGCTTTCTACATGTCTCAGCGTCTTTTATTTTCTCAAGATAGCCAATTTCTCAAGCTCTCTTTTTCTTTACCTAAAGTGGAGAATTAAAAGTGTGGTTTTAGTGACACTGCTAGTGTCTGTGCTCATTTTCTTTGTAAACATTATAATCATAAACACATATATAGATGTCTGGGTTGATCGATATAAGCTGAACACATCTCACAGTTCTATAACAAGTAATGCACAACTTTGTAAACTTGTTTTACTTACAAACACTATGTTCACACTAATACCCTTTACTGTGTCTCTGATCACCTTTTTGTTGATCATTTTCTCACTGTGGAAACATTTGAAGAACATACAAAATAATGCCAAAGGCTCCCAAGACATCAACATCACAGCCCACATAAAGACTCTGCAAATGGTGGTTGCCTTCCTGCTACTATATACTGTTTTTTTTCTGGCACTTGCCTTTCAGTCTTGGAACAATAAACCTCATCATAAAAATACAGCCCATATGTTTTCTGTGGATACTGGACTTGTTTTTCCTTCAGGCCATTCATATGTCTTGATTTTGGGAAACAGCAAGCTGAGACAAGGATTTCTGTTCTTGCTGTGGTGGGTGAAGTGCAAGCTAAATGTTACAATTCTTGGGTTCTTAGAACATGTAAGAGGTTTTGTTCAGTATTCTAGAGGATGACCTATATATAAGAAATTCTGCATATTTATATTTTTTCTTTCTTTTTATCTTTTAGTTGTAACTGTAAACTTTGCAAAATTCTGTCTATATCAAGCATTGTCTAAAAATATTGTAAATATATAGAAGATAAGAAAGGAAGTATGTTGTTATACAAGAAATGATATGAAAATGAACCTTATAGTAGAACTCCTACTATCATTATAATGAAATTTTTCTGTCCCTTAATAGACTTTCTGCAATTTTAATATGATCTTTGAGTGAAATATAAAACATTTGTGAAAGTAAGTATATGTAAATTATTAAATGTAAGTGATTAACTCTATAAAATAAGGCTAACTCTTACATCTTGATTAACCCATTTCTATTAATCTCTGTTTACCATGATGTCGTGGCTTACCGGGAAGATTCTAACCTACATCCATCTCGAGTCGGAGAGCCATGGCGTCTGCCTGACTGTTCTTTCTTTCTCCCAGCATACTGTTCGGTCTACTCTGCCTATCCTAAGCTGCTGTCCTATCAAAAGGCCAAGGCAGTTTCTTTATTTGACCAATGAAAGTAACATATAGACAAAAGGACCTCCAACTCCAAGCACCAGCCAGATTGATACTCAGTGTCAACAGAGGTACAGTATGTAGAGAGACAGAATGGTTTAAGTCTTGTGGACAGAGACATATCTGATGAGATAAGAAAGGAAGGGAGTAGGCTGAGATGGTGAAGGAGATGACACTTTGACCAGCAGTAACACATGGGAAAACTTGCCCTGCACTTTGTCTGGGCAACACAGCAGAGATCATCCTGTTGATGACAGCACAGGTGAGCCAATCCTGAGAATGTGATCATGAGAGATCTAGCCCAACCCTAATTTCTCACATAGGGGTATGGGCTGGGGAGAGATACCTTCCTTCAGTCTCTACCCATCAATGCCTAAGACAATAGAGAGAATTGTCCTCAAGGCAACAAGAAAGGGAGAGCTGTCTCTGCTTCCCACCAGCTACAAAACTCCCTGCACCACAGCAGGGCAGCACAATAGAGCCAAGCTTGTTAATGGAAGTGTGGGAGAGCCAGTTCTAAAATTGTGAGAATGGGAGAGTTGTCCCCATTATTCATCTGTTTGGTGGTGGTGAGGAAATGAGACTTTTCCCCTTCCCATCAATGCCTGAGGCAGGTGGGAGAAATGTTTGTGAGGTCATAAGTACGGGAGATCCAACCCTGACCCCTACCAGCTGTAACACTTGGGAGAGCAGTCTGTGCATCTCACCAGGACAGGAAATAGAGCCAACAATGTAAACAGAGGTGTGGGCAAGCCAGCCCTGAAATTGTGAGCATGGGAGAACTGTCCCCATTATCCTTCTTTTTGGTGGTGGCATGGGCTGAAGAGAGTTGCTCCCTCATCCAGCAGTGCCTGGGGCAAGTGGAAAAACTGGCATAGTGGTCATAGTTGCAGGAGAGCTCTCCTTGACCCCCACCAGATATAGCACTCAGGAGAGGAGGCCCTGCTCCTTGCCAGGACAATGCAATAGAGCCAAATCTGTTATACACATGTGGATGAGCCAGCACCATGGTTATGAGTATGGGAGTGCACTCTCTGCTTTTTATCTATCTTCTGGTGACATGGGCTGAGTAGTGATGCCCTCCCTTCTACCCACCAATGCCCTGGAAAGGTGGAAGAGCTGACCTTGTGATCATAAGAACAGGAACACTCTTCCTTACTCCCAACCAGCTGCAACACTCTGGAGAGCAGGCCTAGCACCTCACTAGGGAACCAAAATAGAGTCAACTCTCTTAGTGCAGGTGTGAGTGAACCTGTACCAAAGTTCAAAGGTTAGGAGAAGTTATCCCCATTTCACATGTGGTAAAGTATAGTTACCCAGGCCCAGACCCAAGGATATGACTTGGTACAGCCCATCATCCACTCCATCTGTAATTTGCTGGTTCATGTGAAGGGAGCTGCCTTGCAGACCCAAAGCTTCAGGATCTCCACAAAACAGAGCAACAACAGGATATCTAGGAGACAGCAGGATTTCTAGGAAAAACCCTAGCGAGGGCCCAGAATAGATAGGGTAGTAGAAACCAGAGGCCTTGAACAAGACAGGTGTCTCTCTTCAATGAACACTTGCAAGTAAATTTAAATGAGCAAGAGTTGTTGGTTTGACTCACTGTATTGCATCACAGCTTCCATCATGAGATTTTTACATTTTTCCCTTTTTAATTTTCTTTTCCTCCCATTTTCTCTTAAATTTTGCTTTATTTGGGGGAAGTTCTGGAGTGGAAGACAGAAGCAAAAAGATGGGGAAATGAATGGGATCAAGATGCATGATGTAAAAGACACATAGAATAAAAAATATCTATAGGAAGAAACTGGTAACAGCCATACCTGAAATCTGGTGGAAAAAGAATATAAAAAAATGAGGTTTTTGTTCTTCTTTCATGGTATTTGAAAGCCGGCTAATGTGTCTTCAAACAAGTCCAGTCATTTTATTGTTGTTGATTTTGTTTGATGTCCTGAAAGCTTATTAATCTTCTAATTGTTGTGCCAGGATATGCAAGGAATCAAATTAAGAAGGTATGATAATTGTGGCTCACAGTTTGAAGATTCTGTTCATTATCGTAGGGAAAGTATAACAACATGATGTTCAGGATGATAGTCATACTATATCTGCAGTTTTGAAGCAAGGATAGCTCAATGCTGATGTTTAACTAACTGTCTCTGTTATATTCATACTGGGATTATAGCCAACAGAATGGTCTGGCTCATACTTAGGGTGCATATTCCCAATTCAATTACTGTAAACTAAAACACTTTCACAGACATGTCCACATCTTTGGTGTGACTGTAGATCCTGTCACAGTGACCATCGGAGTCAACATCCACAAAAAGTTTATTTTATTATTAATTAAATGTTTAATGTATTGTTAGAAGATAACATGAATTCTGTATCTAAAGCTCATTGTCTTGTATTTTCTTGATATGAAATCATATTATGTACACATTATTATTTATAGTAATATTTTTAATTATATTTTTTGCTGGTTATGTAGTGATATGACTTAAAAATGACTTAAAAATGATATTTTTAAGTAAGTATAATTTAAGTAAGTATAACAATTGCTGGAAAAAAAGGAAATGGGCAAACATGCCTGTAAATTTTCAAGTGTGTTGGTATATTGATGGGGTGGATTTTCAATGATGTAGCCTGCTTGAATCACTATGCTCTTATTAGTAATTCTAACCTTGCTCCAATGTGTAACCTCAATAAATTCATTGTTTTACTACACCAGACTTATACTAAATTCTTTCATCTTCATTTTGTTTTTGGTACCTTTTTCTATGGTAAGTAACTTATCTTGAGATTCTACATAAAGTTCACAAGCAGCCAAATATAAACTCTTTACTAAAATTGAAAAATACAGTATCTACAGAATATTCAGTGGGATTTTCTTTTTTCTTTTCTTTTTTTTTTTTTTTTGAGACAGGGTTTCTCTGTGGCTTTGGAGCCTGTCGTGGAACTAGCTCTTGTAGACCAGGCTGGTCTCGAACTTACAGAGATCCACCTGCTTCTGCCTCCCGAGTGCTGGGATTAAAGGCGTGTGCCATCACCATCTGGCCTTTCACTGGGATTTTCAAGTGTTTTTTATTTACTGAATAATAATGTAGCTCATGTAATCCTCAATAAAGAAACAGGATAAAGGACAAATAGAAATTTTATTAATCTACAAGACAAAGAAAGTTACTAAACAATAATAAAAAAGTGCTGTTGGAAGAAGCTGCTTGTTAGTTCCCAGCTTCCCAGCTTTAAAATAACCACACAGAAATTTTATCAATTAAAATACAGCTTGGCCCATTAGCTCTGACTTCTTATTGGTTAACTCTTACATCTTAATTTAACCCATCTCCATTAATCTGTGTATTGCCATGTAGCAGGGACTTTCTGGCAAAAGTTCCAGCATGTCTGACTCTGGCAGTGGCTCCATTGCATCTCTCTGATTCCACCTTCCTCCTCCTATGCTATAGGCTAAGCCAGTTTTTTATTCCTTAACCAATAAATACAACACAGAGACAGAAGAACTTCTCACACCAAAGTGTGATGGACAACCTCAGATAAGATACAGAAATGAGTCCAGTCCTATCAGAAAGTTCTAAATGAGTTAATAAGTTGTCCTGCCTATACTTTCTGCCTGGCTGCTGGTCAGTCAGCATTTATTTAAAATATAATTGACAAAATACAGACCATTGTCCGGTATCACTTCCTCTCTTTTGTTTTTATTTTTATTTTATTTTATTTTTTTTTCCTATGGTGACCAAACAAAGGAAAATATCCATAGTCCATTCTTTGGGAATGTGGGCATAGTATTCCAGGCTACTTCTGGTTGGTTGGGGGCACTGATAATTTTATGGGGACCTACAGAAAAATTAGAATTATGATCAAGTCCTGACTGGAATATCCTGTGAGGCTTGATCAATTCAGGCAGCATCCTGAATCTGTTCTGGAGTTAGAACTCTGACATCTGGGCCATCTGTTCCTACTGGAGATTTCTCAGGTGGTCTTCCTTGATTAAACCTGATTTTTCTTATTTTAGAATGAATCCATTGTTTCTCATTTCCTGTGGAAACAAAAGAAAATCCTCTTCTCTAAAGTAACATACCATTTGACTTCAATTTTAAAGTCAATGTATTTTCAAAACACCTATCTTGGATTAATTCAGCAGCATTTATAAACAAATATCTTTTAGCAGCTGTTGCTCCTTCCTCAGAATTCAAACAATTCAAAGAGAACACAGTATCTAGATTCTCTGTGTGTTTTTCATCTTTACATGACTTTATTTTAACTGCTATTTCTTTTATTTTTTTTAAATATTTATTTATTTATTTATTATGTATACAATATTCTGTCTGTGCATATGCCTGAAGGCCAGAAGGGGGCGCCAGACCTCTTTACAGATGGTTTTGAGCCACCATGTGGTTGCTGGGAATTGAACTCAGGACCTTTGGAAGAGCAGGC